CTTCAGGTCTTCAAGGCTTCAGGTCGTCACTAGGCTTCAGGTCGTCAGCAGGGTTTCAAGGCTTCAAGGCTTCATGTCTTCAAAGGAAAGTCACCCGGGAATACCCGGGATTGCCAGCACACTGATTCTAACTTTCAGTCCTCAGCTATAGTTATTCTGAGCCGCGAACCCTCGAATTTCATCGGGCGACAGTCTCACCGTATCAGTTATTGTTGCCATGTCCCATCCTTGGCAGGCATACCCTTACCAACACCAACCGCCACCGCGCTACCACTGGCCTACCTTACCACACCAGCCCTCGACACCACATCAACCTCCACCACATCTTCCACCTGTGTGGCAACCAGCACACCACCAACCTTTTTATGGGGCACCGTCATTACCCATCAGTACTTACACTCCCCCATATCCGCACCCACAACCAACAATGTCTGTGCGCGCGCGCACCTGCGTGCGTTTGCGTGCCACTCTTGCAACAAAGCTTGCATGTGTACAACACACACATATTATATATTTATACTTATTACTTTATTGGCACTAGAATACGGTTAGTGGCTAGCTTATGAGTGCGAACGGCCGAAGCAGGCTGGATTTCAAAAATTCGGGGGAAGATCGTCACGGTCACTAAACTTCGTGCGTGTATCGCGCTCGGTTGCCCCTGTTGTGACATTTAAGAACAGGGTTTTGCTTGTTGATGGGGGCTGATCCACCCTGCTGCGGTGGTAGCTGAAACATTCTTTTGCACATCCTGGCCAGTGCGTTTGGGAAAGTATCACGCGGAGTCCGCCACATAAAGCCAGCAATCCTAAGGTCATCACAAATGTTTTCCTGAGCATTTATGGAGCCCCTGAGGTTCTGAGTTGGCTTTCCTCCCGGGTTGGCAAACCGCACTTTGCCCATGAGAGACTGGCTGGGAGACTGGATTGACGGTCAGGCAATTGGACAGGTTTCACTGACGATCATTTCGACAACTTGGCAGATTTATTGAGACTTGCTTCCAAGGATAGTTGAACTTCGTGACCACCATGGCAACACTGCGCAAATGTATGTCCAACAGGCAGCTCGGAGAAGCATGCTGAGCAGCTGTGTCTACTTGAAGTGAGATTCTCAAGTGCAGTCTATCGTCACCGGTGTGTATGGATTCCGGATGGCCCTGTAAGGCGCTAGCTGCAAGTCTTGCTCAAGCGCCTGGTGCCTCAAGACTTCCTCTCAGTTGTTTTGCTACTCTGGCGTTTGAGAAATGGAGGGTATACAATGATATTTTACACCCTCCATTGAAACTTATAGGAAGCAGCTTTGCCAGATCAGATCACGGTCTCCCTAGATTTGAATGAAGTAGCTTTATGTTGCCTTGCAGCCAGGGCGCACGTTCTGCAGGTGATTCACTAGACACTACTGGCTGGTGTCTGGTGTGGTCCATGTTCCGACTGCTCAAACATCCCGTCCCAGTTTGTTTCCTCCACTGAGCTTCCTGATCCACCCAAACATTTGTGCTTGCACCACGTCCTGGAATTGAAAGAACCACCATCAACCAAAAGCATATATATAAATGTGGCAAACAGGTGTGAAACAATTCAAGCTATCCGTTAGCTATCAGTTCAAAACTTGGATGCGCGACGGCAATGCTTGCTTTGCTTTGCTGGCTTGGCTTGGCCTCGCCTTGCCTCACTCGCTCGCTCGCCTGCTAACTGGCATAATCACATGACATTCACTGTAAATGCACCTTTTGAAGGGGCAGGCAGATAAATCACATTATTCTCGTGGTGTGGTGCCTGCTGATTATGGCCCAAGCCGGCGCTGTCATGTGCAGACTGCCTTGCACATACAGGTCATACAGACTGCGATGCAGACCCAGACCTAACTACACATTAACTTTTACCCTAGGAACACGAAGTACCAACACCACCCTCAGCAACGCTCCAATGACCCACACTGAATAGACCCCAGGAAAACAATCAACCTGCAATATCATCTAGGGTGCCAAGATGCAGTGTAGTGGTGGAGTGAGACTGTGGTATAGTGTTCAGCCGTGACTCTGGCTGAGCTGCACCGGCATGCGAATGGTGATGAAGCGAGCTTTCATAAATTGCGCATAAATGATTCTGCACGTCAGATGCTTTTGTATCACAACAAGAGCCTTTTCGCACTGAGCCTGACCAGACTTGGAAGCGTTTTCTACCGATGGGATTCCATACTTTGGGGTTTGGTGATTGCTGGCATGGGGTGTGGTGTTCAGTATTGGCTGGACAGTGGGGATCTAGATTCCGCCATCCAGAACCAATATGGATTCCAAGCCTTTGGTGTTGGTCTCACGTTCTGCATTGTGTTCCGAGCGCAAAATGCATGGAACCGATACTGGGAGGCAGTTACACAATTGCACTTCATGTACAGCAAATGGACAGATGCCTTCTCTCTATTCCAGGCCTTTGCTGAAGTTACCAAGATGGCAGCAGAAAAGAGCAACAATGAGTCTAAAATCGACTATCTTTTGGAAAAGCAGCGGAAACTCAGGGCCACATTTGCACTCCTCAGTGCTGTGGCTGTAGACAGGTTGTCGAAAGGTGACACTTCAATGATGGACAGTGCAAGCTGTGGTGTGAAGTCAAGGGGCCAGCTGAGAGTGCAGAGACAGCATATGACTTATGAGCTCAATTTGATTCCCACGCATCTTTTTGATCGCGCGTGCGCACCCTCTGGGCAATCAGGTTACGTCGTTCCCGAGCTGCCTTGTGACGAGCGCAAGAAGATCCTGGAAAATGCTCATGATGCGACAACTCTTGCCATGTACTGGATCCTCTCTGAACTAGCTGACGCTATGGAGATGATTGACATCGCAACCCCAATACAGTCTCGACTTTACCAGGAGCTTTCAAGTGGAATGCTGGGCTTCAACAATTGCTTAAAGATTGCAGATGTGCCATATCCACTGCCCTTTGCGCAATTGCTGGGGCTCCTCCTGGCAGCTTTCTCTTGCTTCATACCCGTGTACGTCATTCTGTTTACACGCTCCCCGATTGCTGGTCCTATTCTTTGCCTTTTGCTTTTTGAAAGTCTTTGGTGCCTGAGCGAGGTCGCCAAAGAGCTGGAGAATCCTTTTGGCGACGATGCAAATGACATTCCCCTCACCGAGTTTCATTTACGGTTTGTTGACACTCTAGAGGATGTTTCAAAAGCAGGACAAAACTCCTTGCTGCGGAAACAGTTGATGGGCTTGCACGGATCGGACATCGATGACACACATCCTTTGGTCGAAACTGATGCTGATAGTAGTGATAGTAGTGATGCCAGTGATAGTAGTGACGATATTTCACGCAGAACCATCGTGCGAGAAGCATTCTAAGTGCTTCGGGCGCATCATTTATTGTCATGGCATGTAGAGCCTAGATAGTTGTTTGTGTTTGTTTTGTCTGCATTGAAAATGTTTCCCCAAGGGCCACAAACGTGGCCTTTGCAGCGTCCTTAAACCCGTCTTGGCTGTGAGAAAAGAAGAAGACACGGTGCCTTCCCAAACTAGAGATTCAAACAAGCAAGGGCATCGCTACTAGGAGCAAGGACGCTACTAGTTACTAGTAGCTAACAAGAAGCTACTAGGAGCAAGGGCATTGCTACTAGTAACACAGGGCATTACTACTAGTAGCATTGGCGGACCGAAGTGAATGCATCCATCTCTTCCTCGAGTTCTTCATACGTCTCAGCCTGGTTTAAGGCCTCATGGTGAGGATCAGGCCACCTTTTCAAGAACGGACCGGGATTGAAGCGCAAATCCTGAGTTGGAAGACGTGTGCTAGGCTAGACGAATAGATTTGATGATGCATGAAGAACAATGAGTCACACGAGCATGAGACGAGTGAAAAGACGATGCATACTGTACGTGTTTGCAAAAATTATGGTTCAAACAGCTGAGTATCTCAGCAAAGAGGGGGCCCAGACGATCACGACATGGCGGGTGCCCAAACTTCGGAGGTGGATGCTGTCCTAAAGCAGTTTCTCAATGACTTCCCAACTGTGATCGGAGCCTTGGCATTGTGAGATGTGATGAGATTACAAAGCCCAGAGGTTTTGAGGTCACTCAAGTCCAGCGGTGGCTTTCATGTCAAGTGCTAGTTGGTCCATGTTTGCACAAATGTATGCATGTGTGCCATGGACGAATGTAATCGTAGCGCAGGGGTCACCGTGAGTTCACAGTGCAAAGTCTTCAAGTCAGTCAAATGCAATTACGTTAGGATAGCTGATTTGGCCCAGGCTTTGTTGTCATCAATTCAGACGGGATTCCAACCAAATGGCACGAGAGCATGCCGTACGAGAGGTGGGGAATGCTACTTTATTGGCTTGCGTTGCCACACGCGCACACACTCAAGATTATGCTGCGTACTGACTTGAAAGCGGTTGCCACACGCCAACCTGGGTTCCCAAATCCTGAACAGTCCAAGAAATCTGTATGGAACCTCGAGGTCTTCAAAAGGAGAAGGGGCCAAAAGCTCAAGTTGAAATCGAGACGACAATTGACGGTGTATCGTGCATGACTGCCGAACTCATTAGACCTTTACAAAGCTTAAAATTCAAGCATGTACGCCAGACTGATCAGGTCTGGCATCACGACGACATGGATGGGTCTTCGTTGGCCGGTGCCATCCATGCGTCCACGAGCCCCCTGCTAAAAGAAAATCGAAACAGTCCAAAAGGAACCTCGTGACTCCAGAGGGGACACACGCACACACACTCTTTCTCTTCTTGCAAGCTTTCCTTGTATTGCCTGTGGGTTCGTTTGCTGAGCTAGGGCGGTCACCTACGCCGCGCTGATGTCGGCCGCGTCCTTAACTTCATTGATGACGGCTAAATTTGTCATTTCCACTTGCTGACCAGCATTTGGAACTGGAGCATTTTTGCACTGCTTCTCACACTGAGGACTTTGTTGCACATTGCAAGAAGTGTTTGGGAAAGCTTCTCACTGGCCCTGCAGAGAGTGAACTGGCAAATGCTGCCTAGCTGGACAAGTGGAGCCTTTGCAAGTGCTACAAGTGGAGCCTTTGATCATTTTCAATCAGGTGTTGTTGCATTCCCTCCAGCTTGACTGAGGTTCGGATTCGAACCAAAGAAGGAACTGAGGTCATTTGCGTCACACAAACAGAGTACATCCTCGTCGTGATACAAAATTGCATCCCAGTCGCGCTATGCGGAGAGACATGAAACATTTCTGAAACATAGGCCTGCGCAGAGTGAGCGTTGGCGATCAAAGCCTGTGTGCCATCTTGGCACAGCTGTGACATGAAGACAGAATTCTGGTATCGGTATATTCCTCCACTGAAACTTAGAATGGAGATGATTAGGGGTCGTACCTGGGGCCCCTGTAGTTTTTTTCGTTGTAATCTAAAAATGGCCCTAACTTAGAATGTGTTTAAGCCGGGGCCGCTTTCGAATGCCAATGGCTCAGAAGAGAATTTGTCAGTGATTAAGAAGAGAACAGTGCCATCAGGAGCCACTTCCAGTGTATATGCGCACAAAAAAGACATTGTGGAGTATGTATATATATATATGTATGTGTTATATGTATTTATATTATATATAAGGATACGTATACGGTATACGTATTTCAGGAATCACCTAGCTAGATTGCGAATCTATTCTTCCACTGAAACTTAGAATGCAAGTTCGGAAAAGCTGGGGTGACATAAACCTGAAAAGTACAGGGGACCCCTTATATTTTTGGTCTTTCTCGCTCAAACCTAACATTTGCTAAAACTATCCAAAAACTTAGAATGTTCAAGGACCCCCTGAAATGTCAAATGTCAAATTTTTCACTTCCGAAAAATTTTTCGACGCGATCTATGCGTGTCACTTACTATGCTCTTGAGCTGCATTCAACCCTATTCCCTTTTCCCGGTATGTTTCTCTTTCCCGTTCCTTTCCATTTTTCTGTTTTGTTCTTTGCTCCTCTTTCTGGCCTGCTCCTTTCCCTCCCATCCTCTTGCCTGTTCTACTTTTTCCCTCCTTGCCTTTCTATCGCCCATTCTAAGTAGACTTTCTTCCCATGCCATTTTCCTCATGTCCCTCAAACCTCCTGGACAGAGTCTAGGGATGTGATTGTGATGATTTTTCTCTGCCCCTTTCTTGCCTTCCTTCCAGTCCTGCCTGTTTCTTGCCCATCTTGTGGCTTGTTAAACACCCTTCCCCCTCCGTGTCCGTTCCCTCCAAGCCAGAACCACTTCCCACTTCTTCCTTCTCATGAGCCGTCTTGACTGTTTGCCGAGGGCATTCCAAGTTTTCAACCTACCCGTTCCACGGTCGGCGACATGCCTCTCAGAAAAGCTCCTTGACAAGATCTACGCGTGTCACTTATGATGCTCTCTTGAGCAGTAGCCTTCAACCTTATTCCCTTTTTCCCGGTGTGTTTCCCTTCCCGTTCCCTTCGGTTCTTTTTCATTCCTTTCCATTTGTTCGGTTTTGCCTGCTGTACTCTTTCCCCTCCTGGGCTTTCTATCACCTGGTTTCTCCAGTTTTCTTCGGTCTCATGAGGCATTCTAAGTAGACATTTTTCCCACGCAAGCCTCCTCGACAGAGTCTAGGGATGTGATTGTGATGATGTTTCCTTACCCTTTTTTGCCTTTCCCCTTCCTTCCCGTCCTGCCTGTTTCTTGCCCATCTTGTGGCTTTTTATGCTCGTTTAACACCCTTTCGCCTCTCTGTCCTTTCTATCCCTTGCCTTGTCCGCTTCGCTTACTTTTTTTTAATGCGCCTTGTTGACTTTGTGTTTGTTGTGAGGAAATCATTGTAGACGGCTTTCCACTCCAATAGCTCCTGGATACTGTCTAGGAGTCTAGGATAAAAAGGGGAGCGTGGGGTGCTTGCACAAGTTCGTACGGCTCCGAGCTTGAAAGGCTTGAAGTGTTGTGTGTAATCTAACAGTCTCACAGCCTGACTAAGAAGTCTCACAACCGAAACTCTGCACTCCACTGAAACGTAGAATCCCCTGAACTTTTCACATTTAGAATTGATAAACGAGATGCAACTTAGAATGCCACATGTGTGCAGACATTCTATGTCTTGTACCTTTCAAGTAAGTGGTGCCAGATGTTACTTAGAATGCCAGGTTCAATCCAAGCATAGAAAACTGCTACATCCCCTAGACTTTTTTCAGGAGCATTCTAAGTTTCATTGGAAAATTTTTGAAACATCCGGGCATTCTACGTTTCAGTGGGGGAATATATTTGGCATCCCTGAGATTCTTCGAACTATATAGTGCAATGCGCCTGCAACAGGTCACTGACCTACTGGAAACAATTGCCGCGAAGTCCTTTTGGCCTGCCTAGGCACTGGAAAGCCATGTGTCACGGAGGAGGAGGGAGGTGGTACTGCAACTGGTGAAGGCAGTGGGAATCTCAAAGCCAGTGAATCGAGTTGAATTGTTGCTGCAACACAGTTCAGTTGCAGCAGGAAGGTGAGGAAGTGGGTGAACAAGCATAAATGACATACATGGCCAAATTGTTCTTCAACTGCCTTGAGTGTGTGGGCAGGGCAATGCTTTTTGCAGTGCATGCTGCTCAGGTTGACGGGTGGGCTTGCGCGAAGCTTGCAAAGGCAAGTCAGAGCGGCTTCTCGGCTCGTTCTTCACACCTGGTGAGTTACAGGATGCAAAGAATTACCGTCGCCAGTGGCAAGTCTAGTTCAAACCTCAAACCAGGTGTGAAGATTGCATCGTGCGCTGAGTTATGTTTCACCCCAGCGAATGTCCTACAGAATGTTCGTTGGACAAGAGCGCGCTGTGCAATGGCACAAGCCTGCGTTAAAAAAAGATCAACTACAGTAAGCAGGAAATAGAAAGCGGTCTATATTCCCGACGCTGCTATCCAGCTGCTGGCAAAAGGAGGGCAGTTTAGGCTTTTCTGGGGAAGGGAAGGGAATTGAAACCTGACAAGGTTGGAGCAACTGTCGTGGAGGCTGCCGGCAACGCTCCTGAATTCTTCGCTACAGTAGCCCGCTGTTTGAGGCCCCTTTTAAAATAGTCTACCGCGCCCGCAATTTGTTAGAATGTTAGTCCAACACTAGTAATTGCTTGTGAACGAGATAGGGCTCCCCATAGACTTATATAGTTCATGACAACGATATTGATTTGCTACTGAAGGTGAGCGAGAGAGTGTAAGAGGACCTCCCGCTGAGACAGGGCCCTAGCGCGAATTAAATTGCCACTGCAGGCTCCTGCTGGTGAGCCACAGAGACTAGCCTGCACTAGTCAACCCTCTTCACAGGTCGCAAGGGACTGTGAAGTTGGTATATAGGGCATGCGTGTTCTTGACCATCAGGCCATCAGCCGTGCATGCAGTTGGAACTGCACAAGCCGAGGGCTCAGAAATTTAGCATGCGGGTGGTTGATGTAGGACTGTAGGCCAAGCGTCTCCAAGCAGTTTAGTCTTGGACAACCTTGTCCCAAATCTAAAATTTGTGCATTTCTCATCTACAAGTCGCAGGTTTGCTTTCATGTTCGAAAGCCTGTTCACCCGAGGCTGCGCATCAAGAGCCCAGGTCCCAGACCGGACTTCAGATTTTTGGATTGCTGATCCGCAACAAGTGCGGGCAGCATGGATCAATCATCAGTCATCATCATCATCATCATTCTTTCCATACGCTCATCGAGTGGTGATGGCGTGGATCCATTGATCCGTCTGGGCCCCGGAGGGCCGGCCAGCGTCAGCTAGCTGCTACAGGATTTGTCCATTGGCCACGCCAGTATGGCATGCCCCCGCTGGACGTCAAAGCTAGAGATAGCAAAAAGGTACCGCCGCTAATAGTGACCCTGTGCGATTCGCACATTGCGAAAGTGGACAGCGCTCAAAACCTCCCATTTTTTGCATTGTTTCATTTGGGAGAGTTTGGATCATATGTGCTTTCATCCCATTTTTCACAAGGGTCAGCACTTGTAAGGTGGAATTTAGATTGGGGAAGAGCAGAAAGTGCACTTTTTTTTGGCGCGCACGCGTTTTGCAGGTGTATTTTCTTTACACTTGCGGCCACGTTCGGGCCAACGCCTCAAGCAAATCTTCTCGGTTGTTCTACCGAAACTGAAAACTGCGGACATGTTGATCGACGCGTTTTGCGTCACCCCACATCAACCACAAAGCATCAACTTCGTGACGCAAGTGCAAGCGAACGTTAACATGCCCCACCCCACCCCACCCCACCCTACACCACACCTACCACGAAGCATCAACTTCCTGACGCAAGTGCAAGCGAATGTTAACATGCCCCACCCCACCCCACCCCACATCTACCACGAAGCATCAACTTCGTGACGCAAGTGCACGCAAACGTTAACATGCCCCACCCTACGAGTGTAGGCCCAGAGGCATGTCAGATTGCAGTTGCGCATGCTACTGGTACAATTTTTTTGCGCGCCCGCAGCACGCGTGTAGCGCATTGCCGGATTGAGGTTCAACATCTTCCAGGACTGAAGTTCTTGTTTTTCGATGTTTTTGCACGTAAGCTGCGTGGCACCGCCAGCATGCTTCTCAAGCCGTGCTTCTTGCTTGTTTGGAGCGGCGCTGGCGTGGATACGAAGGCATTGCATTTTGATTGGAATTAGTAGTTTGTGAGGTTGGTTGCAATATGTTTTTGGACTGTGGCGTTTGGCGGGAATGATTTGTCGACGTGCTATCAGTATTTCATCCTGCGTGAGTTCAGTTTCCTTGCTTACCTTGTGCCATCCTCCCAGTGGAATTTGCTTCTTGTTGATGGTGTTTGCATTATCAATAAAGAGTAGCCTGGAGCTCGTTTGTGATGGAGCTTGCAACCAAGCTGGTTTGATGTTTGTCGTCGAAACACTGGTCAGGAGCCAGAAGAATATTCGATTGCCACAGGACTGAAATCACATGTACATGTGCGAGGGCGGAGGCATTTCATGCGCATGTGCCCTGACTGCCAGGAACCAATACAACACCCCTTGCAAGGAGCGATGCGGGTTGTCGTTGGCCGAGACGGTAAGGGAGTGAAACAAGTTTTGCAGTGTGCACACCGCGCACCACAAAAAACAAACCTCACCTATCCTCACCTAGTTAATACAAACGAAGGTCATTCCACCCAGTCGCAAGGATGATACGCACAAACTGAAGTGCACCGAAGGCCCTTTGAACGGATCAAAAAGGTTTCCACATGGTAGTGGAGCGGGGATAGCCATTTCTTTGATCTGGCTTGAGCTCCGAAACTCTAAGGAAGAGGCCCGAAACCTAGTTACCTAGTCTCACTCGCGCCCCAGTCCTGATCCAGCGTCCTTGTGGAGCCACCCATTAGCTGATGTTGCGCGATCTCAACCTCAGTGCAAGTGGCTACTTGGCCCCGGACCTTGCAGATCACTCACCTCGACCTACCAGATTGCCCACATCCTTGTTTTTGAGCAGTTGCTAGAGGAGAAGGAGGAGCACCCACATCCTCCTTTGCAAGAGCGTCGACCAGACCTTTGCGGGAAAGAAGGAAAGCATGGATGGTTCAGCCGTGATGGACTTGACAGGACTCCCTGAAATCGCCCGATTGCTACGGTACATGCAGCTATCCAGGCCGTTCAGGCGGTGTCAGCTTCAGGAGGTCATGCAGGGGGTACAGAGATTCGGGCCAAGTTGAGTCCTCGGCCAGGGCCATCCATCTGCAACAGCGGGATTGGCGCTGTTGCCCCCAACAGTGGTGGCCAGGTGCCAACAAGGGCTTGAGAAGTTTGAGAACGACCTCACCCATGAAATGGACTGGGAATTGATGGATACCAAGGAACATGACAAAGCCAGGGTTGTCAGCCTTCTGGGCACCCTTGTTCAAGGAAGACTAGTTGGCCTGATCAAGAACCTGCACAACTTCAATGGGCACAAGGCCCTGAGGCACTTGTAGCGAATTGCGCCCCAGGCCCGCAATAGGACGATGAACTTACTGCAATGAAACACGTTCTACCCAGCTTCAACATGAAGTCTTCGATCCTGCCTCAGATTCACAAGCTGGAGGGGTACTTTGGCCAGGGAGGCAAGCTTTCATCGGACAGGCCCAACTGTTTTGAGGCAATCTGTCAGGGCCCCTCAAGGTTCACCTGAACCTGGGTTTGAGAAGCCGTATTTTTAGCCTCCGGCGCGGACAATTCCGAGGGGGGATGAGCCTGCAGCTTTGAATTTCTCTTCGATTGTGATCCAGCAGGCTTGGCGCCTAGGTAGTTTGACAGGCTGCAGTGGCAAAGCGAAGGGCAAGAGCAAAGGCGGCAAGGATAGCAAAGGGGAGGGAAAGAACAAGGATCAGAAGGGCAAGAGCAAAGGAAACGACGAGGCAAGCAGGGTGGAGGCAAGGGTGGGAGTCAAGTAAGGGGAGGGAGGTGTTTTGTTGGATACGTGGAAGTCGTGCACGCCACTCCAAGGACTGCGCGAGAGTGCGCCAAGGAATCTCCAATTCAGGCGGTCACTGCGTCAGGGCCACTTCACCAACTGCAGCCGCATGAGCGCCGCGAGTGGGGTGAGAGTAGCGCTTTGAAGGCCGCTCGACGTGCTGCGCAGCCTGTATAGTCTTTGACCTTCGCGGCGTTGAGGAGGAGGAGGAGGCAGGGTCAATTCGAGTTGCGAGGAAGCACATGGAGAGGCAAGAGGAGAGAGAAGAACAGAACCGTTGCGTTTTACAACCTAGAGGAGGACGACGAGGGAGAAGATGCAACTATGCAACCGTCGATCAAGACAGTGTACGCGGGTGAGAAGAGGAGGAGGAGGAAGAAGTCCTCTTTTTGCAAGGTGCTCAGGGACCCAAACTTTTGGGCATCTTGATGCGAGCGTCCTGACACAAGCAGAGGATGAGAGAGAAGTAGTTCTCAAGCGAAGGCGACCTGTATCAACGCAGTCGCCCAACCCATATTGTTTGCGGTCACTTGCTCAGGGCAAGAGTGTCCATTGATGGGAAGGATCAATCCCTGATCAACGGTGATGTCAAGGTGCCGCTGGGCTTGGTTAGTGGGAGGCTACATTCGAACTCTCACGGAATGTGGGCAGTGTGGATGGCCACCATTGGAGCCAGTGTTTCCAACGCCCCCAGTACGTCCCCCTCTTCAAGAAGGCTTGCCGCTCACTTTGATCGAAAAGTATGGCGGTTCACCGCAGCTACTCAAGATGACACAACCGCTGGACAGTCTTGAAAATCGAGAAGCAGAGATTGAAGAGCTATGTCAGACAGATCGAGTGTTCCCGGCCACTCGACATGGGCACTTGTATCCGGGAGTACGTTTACCAGAAGCAGAACGAGGGAAGGAATGGAAGTGCCTATGGCAGAAGTGCCATCCCAGACCGCGTTCGAGTGAATGACATCAAGCTCGCTGCTGAGAGGCTGCTTCGAAGTTTGAGAGCCGCGCACGCTTTCTACAAGATTGGTTCAAAGTGGGGGAAGAAGAGGCTAGTGGAGTGTCAGGCACATTGGAGTCGATGAAAGCAAAAGAGAGTTGACTGCAAGTGCACAAGCAGCTTTCGAGCAAGTGACCGCGAACAGATCCAGATTCCATACGCTGCATGGTCTGCGTGTTGTGTGAAGCATGGAGGAAGACAGGATCAACGCAGGAGGGCCAGTCGGACCAGAGAAGCCAAACCTTCAATCGCTTTTGACCTGGCGTGCGCACGAGCTACCGGCGGGAGAAGGAGACGTCGACGGCGTCCACGGGGCATTGTGACACTTGCTGCCGCAACTTGCCAAGGCACAAGCTCTACGCCCCCCGAGAAAACGCGAGCTTGTTCCGACGGACAAGAACACCAAAACTTGTCAATGTGCAAGGCCTAAAAAGCCTATTAACCACCACATTCGCATCAACTTGCTCTGCCTCTGCTTTTGTTAGCTCAACAAAATCGTTTGTGAGTTGTGAGACACACATCAATGCAACGCGCGGATGTTAGAGGTTCTTTAGGTCAAAGTATGCAAGTGTCGCCGGATGTTTTGGAAAACGCATAGCTCATCACGATTCTCCAATCAAGTGCAGGCGGGCTATTATTATGATGTGTGCGTCATTGTGCAAGTACTTGCGAGAAAACAGCATGAGGGCTCCCGCGCGCAAGTGGAGCTTCCAGGCATCGTGGGGAAGACGATTGCCATGGAAGTCGGCCCCCAAAGAGGACTAGCAGGTTGGTTCAGGAAGAGGGCGCCGATGCATCAGATGAGAATGAAACATGTATATAGTATTATACAATGATAGTCCTTGAACAATCCTCAACACCATCGCCCCTGGACATCCCCTGCACCCATAGGTTCTCATCTAAGACTTGTGGGCTTGTTGCAAGTAGCGTAATTTTTTGATTTGCTAAATGGTCTGGGTAAGGCTAGCGCCGCTTTCTGTGCAGCTGCGCTTTTGTGTTGCGTCACCGAATTGACAATCTCTTTTTGTCAGTACGGTCGGCTGCTCACTGTAATTGGATGCAACGAACTTTGGTTGGCACCGCCTTTGACATTGCTTCAACATGAGTGTTGTGGCGTGGCGTCCTATAACCCAAAGCCCGGAAGTTCTGGCTAGCATTCTGGTCCCGCGATTGTTCCCTTTTTGGTTTCCGCCCTGCACAGGCTCTTTCTTTTCATGGGAGTCGCGTCACAAATGTGTGCGCGGTCCTTTTCTTGAGCCAAACGTTGTGGCGGTTTTTTTCGCCATGTTGTGGGTCTCACGTGGTTCCTGCTGACTCACGCTCCCCCTTGCGACTAGTTCGCAACTGTCATTCGGTCCTTGACCAAAAAGAAGCTGAATCCGCACCATTTGCCGTGCAGATTCGGCAGACCATCCTTGTGCCACTCGGCGTCTACATAGATCAGCCGCTCAGAAAACTTCATGGTGTTCTGGTTGGGCAGCCAAGCCACCGTCACCCTGAGGTACTCGAGATCCCTCATGTCTTCGGGAGTTGATCGATGCTCCGGGTGAAATCTCTGTACCCTCAAACTGTGCCGTCGGACCATCCACGTTTCCAGCGGCAGGCGAAGATAGTCCCAAGCATCTGTCCTTGGAAGTGGTCGGAATTTCGTGGCTTCCTCATCCACCAGTCGCTGCACCTTGTCGAAGAGCTCCGGTTGGATCACCAAAGTGTCTCCCTCGTCTCCCACTGGCGGAACCAGCCGAGGCACCTGACACCAATGAGGTCGATCCCATAAGCTCTGTGTGGATCATCTTGAGGCCCTTCAGATGGATGTGGAAGAGGTCCAGGCTTTGGTGCCACCACCGAAGGAGGATATTCTTCTGGCCACGCCGATCCCAATCGAGCCGGTCGCTTGGACACCTCCTGGCCTGAACACGAAGACGAACTTTTGGATGTAGTCCCCATGGCCGCCGCCCCCCGCGCCGCTGCTTTGCCTCCAGAGTCACCCATCAGCTCTGTCGGTGGGCTTTTCCGTGGATAGTACCCGGACTTCAGGCCCTCGATGGTTTCATTGACATGTTGCACATACTTCGGCAGCACAGGTGGAGGTTTTGGCAATGGCCCTGACACCCCTTGCACATACTTCGGCAGCACATGGAGACTTCACGGGCGGGCTTTCTTCCCTGACCGCTTTCGATCCCCTCTGCCGTCCAGTCGTTGCCGAAGAAGAAGACGATGTGGCTCCGCCCTGGTAACCGGACTCTTCAACCTCGCTAGCCCGGCCAAAGCGCAGCTGCAGCTTTCCCCAAATGCCATGGCGAGCGCTCGCGGCTTCGAGTTCGATATCGGGAGCCTGCAGGCTACTGTGGGGGTCTTCCCAATTTTGGGACACCGAAGTCCCAGACCCGGGCGTGCGGCCCGACGCCTCTTCATTTCTGGCCTCTTGTTCTTTTCTTGAACTTTCTTCTTTTTCTTTTTCTTCTTGATGCGACCCTTCTTGGTCTGTTTGTTCCCTTGCAAGCCCGGCTCGCAGGGTACACAATTTGGGTCGCGTCGCCACTAGGGATTCTCCCCCGGAACGGCTATGGTTGTACTGACCCTGGAAAACACGTGGTTTTGAATCCCCAGCGTTGACCCCCTTCCTACCAAAAACCCTAATCGCCTCAGCTGCTAAAGCCACGCTCAGAGAAGCCACCACTGCCACCTTGACGATTTGGTTTGGCCACCCTGAGAAAGCTGCGCAGCTGGCCAAGCATAGTGCGACTTTTGCCAATCGCACTCCACCATCATTCTCGCCCTCCCGAACCTCAGCCTCCTGGTCGATGTCATTCTCCCCCAGGTCCACCATGTGGATGAACTTCCTGAAGCGCTGCCATGCTGTTTTCACTGCAATGGCCTTAGTGAGGAAGTCAGCAATCAACTTCGTTCCCTCCAGGTGGTAGATCTGCCAAGTTCCCAGGCGTGACCTCTCCCTCAACGCCTGTGAGCGCAATCGTAGATGGCGAGCGCGCCACGGACCATCAGGTTGTCGGATGATGGCGATGGCCGCCTGGCTGTCTCCATAGGTGATCACTGCCGGCGGTTCATCCATCCACCCCCAACACTTCAGTCATCAAGGCCTGTAGGCTGTCACCCATCACCGACGATTCGATATAGCCCAACAACTCGGCTTCTGCCGTCGACAATGCCATACAGCTCTGCCTTGAGGATTCCCATTGAACCACTCCACCACCAACCATGGCCACAATGCCTTGAACACTTTTTTCTCCTTGCGGGGCATAGGACACATCGCAGTAGATCTCCACCAGGTTCATGCTGCGTTCTCGAGCCAAGGCTTGGTCGGGGCCCCGGTCCTGCTCTTTGCAATTCCCATAGGCCAAGAAGCACTCGTCAGTGGCGTTCAGGTACTCCAAGATGTAGTAGCCTGTCTGTAAAGCCCAACGTGGCCTTTTAGTCACTGCTCTCCCCAGTGCCCCAATGGCGAATGCCAGGTCCGGTCGACTCCGCACCGCAACCCACAAAATCTCTCCAGCAATGGCCTGAGCCTGGCGAACCTCCTCAATCTTGACGTCCTCCTCGTCCTCCACAAGGCTAGCATGTTCCTTTGGCAGCGGTGTGGACCTTTTGGTTGTGATCTTTCGGCGACGGAGTAGATCTTGTAGGTACGAGGGTTGTCCCGCCAAGAGTTCCTCGCCCTGGTACTTCATCTCGAAGCCACAGAAACGCACCCATTCTTCAGAGTTCACCAGCTCCGGCTTCGAAGTCTTCCACTCCTCTTGTATGCGAGCCACCAACCCATCGTGAACAGCTGTCGTACCCATCACCAATAGGTCGTCCACGTAGACCAGCATCAGGCCAACCTCCTCGCAGGACCCGCCATAGGTTTCGTTCCTTTGTGGGTTGAAGCTTGTATTGCACACCCTCCACCACCCATTCGAACTTGTTGAACATGGCGTCCCGGTGTAGTGCCCAGAAGCTGGGTGACGTCTGGAGCCCGTATAGTGCTTTGTGGACTATCCACACTTCATTTTCCGGGCAGATGCCCAACTGTGACATGGTTTTGGGCGGAACCACCGCCACTGGAGCAGCGCCAGGAGCGGTAGGCCTTGGTGCCTGTAAAAAGGCACTTTTGACATCAAGCGCTGACATCATCCATCGTTCATGAGCTGCACGACGTACTGCACATCTGATCAAAGTGCCGTCAGCTCCGCTGGCGTAACTTCCCGCTGGACCAGGTGCAGGGTCTGCCGTTGGTGATGTCATGTTTCCGCATATGACAGCCCGCGCGCGATGCGCGCCACTTCCTCCCTTGCGCACGCACACCATTTTGCCAGGTACTAATTCAGCACGGGAGGAAGACTTTCACGAGGTACAGGATGTACTGCCTGCGTGTCTTTCACGAGTACATCGTATTCATATTGAAAAGCTGGAATCCAATCTTGAGGATGTGCTCGAAGAGGTACCGTGACCGTTTGCAGGACATCAGATTCCTGAACTTGAAGGCTGCTAAGATGGATGCGAGTGTCCCATTCCACTCTACCCAATTGGATCAGGTTGTCCTCCAGTTCATCCCGCCATCCCACAAACAACTCCACCTCTTGTCCTTGTTGAGCCCCCTGTGAAGCATTGCGAGGAACCCCATCCACCAAGTTGGACAATTGCTCTTGTAGTCGCATGTGGTGCCACTCCCACGTCTCCTTCACGAGCTCCATGGGCAACTACCTCCCAACACCATCTTCGTCACTATAGGGCCCTTCAGCGGGAACTCCCACTGTCATAGCCTTCACTCCCGAAGCTGATGCTGCTGTTGAAGACCTCGGGAACCTCTCTGGTGCATCTTCCCATAGTTTCGAGGTCGAACTTTTTGGCTCCTTCAATGAAGACGACGAAGAATACTCCCCCCCCGCTGAAGCCGGACCCGCAGCAGTGACCGCCGCCGTAGTTTCGCCCAAGCGTGGAGTATTCCCTAAAGGCTGTTTGCCAGTCAATCTCCGGTGAGGTTGGCCAGGGCGATCATCTTCTTCAAGTTGGACCATGTCCCCTTGTACCCCTTGTTGAATGCGAAGTTGTTCGCCTTCTTGGTTTGTTTGCGCCGCTTCCCTCACATGAAGAACTCGACCATCTTGTAGTTGCACCACCCAACCGCCATTGACCAGGTGACTGGGACACAACACTCGTGCTTCCACAAATGGTGCAACAAGTCCTCCACCTTTGTGCCACTTTTTGACCTTGACCAACACCTTCCCCCGATAAGGTAGCATAGGAAGGCAAGGCACCCCCAATTCCTCCAGCTGTCGACGACGACGTTCTGCCGCCACGTAGCGGATCGCGTCCGGCCATGAAGTTGCTTCGCAGCCATGTTCAGCCAGCTTGAGGCGTACTCTTCTTTTGATTTAAAATTGGTGTACTTCAGATTCTGCATGTCCGTTGGAAGCCGGATCATCTCCTGCCGTAGTTGTGGGAACAATTCCATTTTTCGCACACCAAGCTGCCATTGATCGAGAGATCAACTCCTTGGCCCGGTCCGAATGTAGGCGATTGACATAGATCCCCATGGCCTTGAAGTGCGCCAATGCCTTCTGCATCGCCACTTGTTCCTTCGCCCGGGACACAATGGGTTCTACATGCACCACATGTTTCACTGGGACCTTCTTCAAGGAGTCTTGTAGTTCTTGATGAAAGCGTTCTTCCTCTGGCGATTCCTCCTTCATGATCTCCAACTCCCCCGGTTCTGCATCATCCTCCTCCACAGGTGGTTGCC